GGTACATTAAAACCATGTGCAACATTATTTTTTCAACAAAAAAAAAGGTATTTTACTACACAGTTGCCACTCATTCATGCTGTCACACACCTGAAGCATTTACTTCTCAGCACACACATTTCTGAATTGCACTTACAGTCTTAGGGCTAATCATCTTTCTTATAAATATAGACATATGTGATAAACTATAGCAACCTCTCTAGTTCATTAGATCAGCACTGTTTGCTTAAAAAACAACCACCCCAAATACATATTTACATGATACACACCAGGACTACAAGTAAGAAGCAGACATTTTACAAAGATTGCAGCAGCTCTTTCCTCCATGTAAACTTTGATACCCCCCAGCAGGGACAGCTGCCTTTTGGAGCAGGATAGTTTTTCTAAAGAAACTTCACCCATCAAAGATTTTGGATGTATGGAATGCTGAAAGCATAAAAAGCAAATTAAAAAATTTAGATTTAAGGCTACAACATTATTGTTCTCACTCAGGTTTGGCAAGGTTACAAAGGTATCATCCCTGATTCTGCACACACATAAAAACCTGTGCCCAGCCCTCACTATCCAGCAAAGCAAACACAGTGACCATAGGACCAGGATCTGACTGAGCTTCCTGTGCTGAAGTATTTACTGATTTTCAGGGTCAAGCAGCAATGAGCTGATGTAGGTGTGAAGTCTCTGTCTTTGCTTTTAAGCTTTATTTAATAACAAGAACATTGAATGTGGGGAGAAGACAGCTCTAACAGCAGTGAAAAGAAAGCAATTTCCAAAGGGTTGTTTCAAAAGTATTCACTGTACATGTGAAAATCAGATATTTAGAGCCTTCAAAACCTTCTTCATTTAGGGTTAAGTGACCTACAGCTCCTGGACTTTAGAATTAGATTGTCTCTGGTCATTCATAACTCATCTGAAAACCATTAGAGTCTTCCCAACTCAACAAGGAGGTTGTGCTGCTCCTGCAGCCTCGGACCACTCTGTGGCAGCTAGAATTTTTACTTTGCTCTTTGGGATGAATGAATGTCTGAGAGACTTGGAGAGCTCTCAGAGTGGAAACAGGGCACTGGGAAAAGCCCAATGCAGCCAGGGTGACACATATAATTGCAGCAGCAGCAAAGCCAGTGTGCAGTTCCCAACCTACTTGACCCTCAGCCTCCCGTCTCTTTCTGCCTCACTTTTATAACCTCTAAAGATGTCCTGATGCAGCTGGTTTTTGAAATTAAGTCTAAAAATGTCTTCCTAAAATGATTTAAAAAACCCCTTTCCAGGAATATTTTACTGTTCACCTGAAGCAAACTAAGATAATTTCCCAGGTGCATTGGCAAAACTAAGAGGGTAAACCACAGCCAGAGGTAGTGATGTGCCTTTTGGGGGCTGGACAAGATGATCTCCAGAGATTCCTGCCCACCTCAGCTGCTCTGTGATGCTCTGATATGTGTGGCTACTGCTACAGCAGTTGTCAGGCTTCATAAGGATTTGTCTAGAACATTTTTAATATCTAGATTTATTTTTTTTTCAGAAATAATGGAGGTTCTAAGAAGTCTGACTTAGGGCTACTGAAAAGAGGTTGTTAGGGTCTTTTACTCAAAGAGAAGGAACAGAATAAAGAAGAGAGTTGTGCAGTTGCCTGACATTGCAAGTGGGCACATGCATACCTGAGGAACTCCCTAAATCCCGTTTACACCTTTCCATTTATAAATACCATGAAAACAAGGCCCTCAACATTCAGAAGACAGATCTAAAAAACCTGGATAGAGTGATCTAATGGGACCCAATCCTCAAGTGACACAACCAACTATTACATTGATTTATGTCAAGAGAGGACCTGGTGCTTATTATTTATTCAATAAACCCTTATCAGTCTCTCATATTTTTGCCAAATGCAATTACCCAGATCTTCACATTCAAACAGGCTCAAAACCATAACATAAACCAGGATCCTAGGTCATGTTAGGGCTCTGAAATTATATAAATAACTGTAAAATGAACAAAGGTAAAAGTTCAGAATCCACAAAATGACATAGTGGACTAAAATCTCTTAATCATCTGCCAGTGCTCTGCCTGCCAAATCTGCAAGATATGAAGAAAATGTTAATTGCACATGCATGTGAGGACTAGATATTGCATCTGGATCACAGATACCAACAAAGAGAAAACTGCATATTGCCTAAGCAGCTGCCCAAGTTTTGCACATGCAGTTCCAGACTTTGGGCACACATTGCAGCCAAACTTTACAAAGTTTCCCAAAAATATTTAAATAACAAATGGCAAATCCCCCCACTCACATGTGTGTTAGGCAGAGAACAGTTCTGCTCCATGTGCAGAGATAATAAATACTGTGCATTACATTTACCATTGTTATTCTAACTCACTCAAGTCAAAGTGTTGTATAGTACATATAATACTCAGCAGACAGATAGTTACTCAGATCTACATTCATCACTTAGACACACATCTTAGAAAATTTTGCCAGTTGCCTATAAGGATTCAGCTGAATATGTAGCACTTAACAAGCCACAGTATCATATTTCTAGTGTCTTATACAATGTCATCAGGAAATGTTATGGTATCACTTGAATTTGGTGTACTGAGGCAGTTTGTCAAGCACCAGCATTTACAACTCTTGCTTGCTTCAGATGGTAGAAATATGACAATGTGTCAGAAAGCTGATGTGAGGAAGGGGAAATTGTATCCATTCTCTGGTATAAGATTAATTATAGAAGAAAGGCACCATGAAAGAAAGACAAATTTTTAAACACATACAAGGGGAGAGATTTATTGCTCACGGTGACACATAAATCAACCAGTGACTGACGGTGATACACAAGCATAATGAGACAAGTCTAATGCTGGATTCTTCTCCATCTCTTACTAAACATCCTAAATGTATCATTTTCTTTCCTGGGATATTATCTTATGCTCTTTGAATTTCAAGATTTAAATACTTCTGGGGTTACTCTTATCAGCATACAAACCTCCCAGTGACTCTGGCACCAGCCTCACATATAAGGTAACAACAGCTCTGGACTTTACCAGTAATCCCGGTGCAATTTTGTAGGAGTGGTCTTAGCAAAATATAAAATGATCCAATATAGAGCTTTGTGTTTATTTAAACTCACTAATAATCTGCTTCCTAATATCCTTATTCTGATACAATCCAGTCATCAAAATGACTTGAATTTCTTAAGAAACAAGTCTTGAACTGGGTGTTTCTATCTATTACACCTGAGAAAATGATGTTAAGCCTAAGAAGGAAAATGATTCAGATGAGGTAGACTATTTAATCGGGCTAAGGACTGATTTGAATGCAGTGTTGTAAAAGCTCACTGAAATTCTGTGATTGTTATTGTGTGTATATTTTATTGTCATTGTGGTATTCTTTATAACTGAAATGGAGAATTGAGCTGAAAATTTGTATTTACATGGTAGTTTATGTTCTCCATCCTATAAATTCTTTCATTTATAGAGCAGGTGACTATGTAAGTTTATAGGTGGACATGGTTCCTTGCAGCTGTAGCACCATGCCAGGGCAGGGGCTAAGGCAAGGCTCTCCAGACTGACGGCTGAGGGGTTACCCCACATTCACTGACCTTGGGGTGAAGCCCCTCACTGAGTTCCCTGTCTGGGCTTTCAATCAGAGGCCAGAAAATTCAGCAGTGAACAATTTTTTGCAAGGTATCAAGCCCTTTCCTTGGATATCAGAGAAGGTGGGAGCTAAACAGTAATCCCACATTTTTACTATTTGAAGCCTTATTTTCTCAGCATGATCCTGGCTGTATTTTTCTAGTATGGGATTGACAGTGGGGATGGGAGCAAGGATAGCTGTGCCAGCTGTTGTTTAAGCTGCCATTGCATGCATGAAGCCTAATTAGCCAAGACTACCCTAAATCTGGACATGCATCTGAGTGCATGGTAACTGTTACTAATGTTCCTATGCATAGCTGCAATCGAGAGCTATAAAGATTTATACTGAAACCTCCTGAGATTTGCATGTTCAGATGTGGATTCAGATTATTGGCTCCACTTTCATGGTGGGGAGGAAGTCTATTATTTTTGCTCCACTTGCTTTGGAAATTATACCTTTAAACTGAGATTTAGGCTCTTATTTCCTTTAAGTAGGAAAGAAAAATCATTAATAACTCCTCAGAAAAAGGTGTTTTTTTTTCCTGGGCACAAGGCCCAGTTCTGCAGCTTTGGGCAAAATCCAGCTCTTTACAGCTCAGATATATGGAAGGTAGGCAGGAATCATCCTGACCTTTACACCCTGTCTACCACTTGTATTTGTCTGAAATTTAATGGGGAGAAAATTAATGGGATTCTGTGCAAATTACTTCAAAAAACTTAGAGATGACATGGCTGAATCCAGCCTGTAGAATGCATCAAAAGTGGTTTTTCTCTTCTGTCAGTTCAACAGGATTGCTCCAAAAATATCTATCAGAAGAGGCTGAAAGCTGTGTTGAGCACTGTATGAATATCTAGATAAAGGTATCTGTTTAAAGCTTTTCCCATTAGGAATTTTTCTATACACAACCTTCTCAAACATCTAGGTTGGGGTGGTTTTTATAAAGCCCTGTTGGCAGCTACATCATGGGGAGTGTTACCTGCAGCCAGTGAAAAAATACAGCACAAATATCCCAGTGCAGCTTTTGAATATGATCTGATGTCACCTCTTTGCTCCCATTACCTTCATGAGTCCTTCTGCTGAGGACTAACGTTTTACATATAGATGCAACTGCTGATGGAAATCAATGGGAGATTTGTATTTGTGAAGCCTGCAGGACCATGGATCAATAATGCTCTTCCAGTCAGAGGCAGGAGGTCCAAGGCGGACTTGCCTCCCTTGGGTGTTACGTGGGCTACTGGAGGGACATGGGCTGGGCTTCACCCTGTCCTTGACTGCCTCCTGAAACCTGGACAGCTCAGGATAGCTACTAGGGATAGGCCAGTTAATTTTGTTTCCCATATATCATTTTATATGTCTTTTAGGTCCCCTACCAGGCTCCTCATTCGTTCAGCTGTGATATATTCCGGTTGTGCGATTCGCTCGTGAGGGCAGAAGAGTTGATGGAACTTCTTTTGAGGAGTTTGTTTATGATGTCTTTCCATGTTTTCTTGTACTGGTGTCGCAGCAAAGAGTACACAAAAGGGTCTGAAACAGCTTTGCTGTAAGCTAAGCACTTGGAAATGATTCCCCAGTAGGAGTTGATGTGGACCACAGAGGATAATTCAACGAGTCTGTGGGAAGAGGAAGGTTAAAAGAGTGAAAATTCATATTAAAAACATGGAGCAACAGCACAACTGTAAGGCACTGACCACCCCAAGCCTTCAATTGAAAACATACAATAGAAAAGAAAGCCACACTCATGAAAATGTGAATTTAGTCCTCCCCCTATACATTTCTAAGACTGCAAACATAAACTTGAGGTCAGTTTGCCAAGGGTGGGACTACACAGCTCCTGTCAGAGTGTCTTCACCTCCAAACTTCAAGGCATCCTTGACTCTATACATTTAGCTGTGCATTTACTGAGGTTAGAAGTTGACCTTGGCTGTGTTGCCTCTTGATTGTTTGCCTCAAGAAATGCTGAATAATGTAAAGTGGAATAGGTCCATCAGGACATGAGGGTTCAAAGTTAAGTTGAGCTCTCTGATGTACAGCTGGAGTTTCAACTCCTCTGGCTCACTCCAACCATCAAGATATTTGATAAAGGGACATCCCTCTCTCTACAGTGCTGTAACCTGGCCTGGTGGACACCATGGTTGGGATCATAAATACTCTGTGGTAAGCAGGTCAACACTTCCCAAAAGTTTACAGCTGATGAAAACTACCATGCAGCATCTACTTATAAAATAATTTCCTACATAACATATTCTCAGCTGTTACATTTTTAATCTCTGTCCCCCAGCCTATCCATACGGACAATGTGTGCTATTTGTTCTGCTGACTTTCGGATTTGCTGTCCTAATAAGATCAAGCATTAGAGAGTAACATTTCACTTCACCTTTTTTTCTTCATTTAATGCTTTTTGTGTGTGTTCATTTTTCTAGTAGTGTGCACCATAAGATCGTGTTTCTGGCAGCTGAAATTCTTCACAGACTTAATATAGCTCTGAAAGCAGTGAAAGGAGTATAATCTCTCTCGGTATGTTTCCTGATGACTTTCACACTTACCAGCATCATGAAATCCATTATGCACAGCAAATTCAACCACAAGTATTGTGAAAGGCTCTTTCTGCATAGCCCAACATAATTTTCTAAATATTGATGCAAAATCAGAGTCTGAGTACTGAAGCTTGAGATCAGGACATAAAGTGCCATTGCTTGATCTCATGGGAGTCATATTTCTCTATCACTAGTAATGTTAAAATTGAGCATCTCCTCTGAGAAGGCACCTCACCAGTGCTATCTGGCTTTCCTGGCCAGTCCAACTCCCAGAGAGAGAGTTAGATGCTTTTAAACAGTTTGCCTGAGTCTTAGAAACACACAAGGAAGGAAAATTCATCGTTGAGAAATGGCATATTGTATCTTGAATTTAAAAGCCGGCCAGTTTAAAGGCCAAGCATATACATTTGCAACAAATGGAACAAGACAAAACCTTTAAATTGTTCGGGTCGGGAAGAGCTTCATATACTCCTCACACCTACACTAGCACAGACAGTTCACTACATACCAAGAGGGTATTTTTGACAGTGAAATATTGATAACTCCCCATGTCTTTGAGCAACACCAAAGGGCAGTTCTATTCAATATGCCTCCAGAGCTGTTAGAAACTATTGATTTTTATAGAGGTCAAACAGCCACATGTGCTGCTAGAGAGCCCCACCATGCCATGGCAAATAAGGTCTTTGCTGACGCAGTCTTCAGCAGCAGATAGTCTTAAACCTGCCTAGAAAACACTTCCACTGCTCATGTTTCTTCAGACAAAGCACCGTTTTCAAGGAGCATTCTGAAGTGTGGTTTCTGCAGCAGCAATTACAGCAATGTTGGTTCTTCAAGCAGTTTAGAGATGAGGATTTTTTTTTCTCAGTCATTTTAATTCTCATTCAATAAATATCCAGTACATCATGTTGTTTAAAATAATGCTGACAGATGGCATGGTCCAGTCATTTGAGCATGAAAGTGGGACTAAGGAGCCTTAATTTGTTACAGCACTGATGGTGAGCTTCTGTCTTCTCTCTCCATTCTAGTTTGGCCAGTCTGCAAGCTCCATGGCAAAAGCTCTGTCTCTTCCTAGATGTGTGTGTTGGGTCTGCAGCCAGTGCTGAGGCTTTAGCTGCTGGCACAGTATTGGAAATTCTTATACTGAGCATAGTTTTGTGTGTTTTGTGCTGGTAATTTGATCACTCTGTGTATCACAGAATCAGTTACGTTGGAAGGGACCACAGTGGGTCATCTAGTCCAACCTCCCTACTCAAGCAGAGCCATTTTAGAGCACATGGCTCAGGATTGTGTCCAGAAGGTTCTGGAGTATCTCCAGTGAGGGAGAATTTATGACCTCTCTGGGCAATCTGTTCAGTGCTCGGTGACTGCACAGGAAAGAAGTTCTTCCTCGTGTTCAGGTAGAACTTCCTGTGTATCAGTTTCTGCCCATTTCTTCTTTTATTGGTTTGCACCACTGAGCAGAGCCTGATCCATCCTCTTGTCATCTCCTTCAGACACTTAATGAGGTCCCTCTCAGTCGTCTCTTCTCGTGGCTGAACAGGCACAGCTCCCTCAGCCTTTCCTCATAAGAGAGATGCTCTAGTCCCTTTGTCATCTTTGTTGCCCTGTGCTGGACCTGCTCCAGGAGCTCCATGTCCCTCCTGTCCCAAGGAGCCCAGAACTGGACAATCCTCCAGATGTGGCCTCACAAGGACTGAGCAGAGGGACAGGATCACTTCCATTGGAAGTGAGGAACACATGTACAGTGATGCTTTTAGGGATGGTGACGGCCAAACTACTCTTTGGGCTCAGAGATGTGTGAGACTTTCAGGTGAACAGGCTATTTCACATGAAAATACTCAGGAATTTCTTGTGCCACTCTACTGGTGCTGCTTGGCTTAGTGGTTAGCAAGAAACTTTGAGGTCCCAAACAACCTCCAACTGTCCCAATTCTCTCTCCTTTCATCCTAACTAAACAAAAGTTGTTGTTTCAACCTCTCCTTGTAACTCATGGCTGATATCTTTCTTACAAAGTAGGATCAGAACTCAGACATGATTATCACCCACTCCAGCTGCAGGGTGGTCTCATCTGGTGGATTCTCTCTTATGTAATAAAATGTAGTTTATGACATCCTCATTAATGTGTTCTAAAATGAGAATTGACAGTTTGGAAATTAATCATCTACTGAGTCAGATTTACTTCGTAATCTGCCATGATCCATCCTTGGTGTTGTTCTCCACTTCATTTATTTGCTGCCTACTTCACATTTGAATTTCATCATGTTGAATTTCATCTGGATGATTTATTTTTACTGAAGGCTTTACAGATGTGAACTTGATTATGTTTAATTAAATTCAGTGGATGCCTTGAATACCCAAAATATGACAAATATGTGTTTGAGGCTCTGTCAATCAGCTCTATGAGACATTAACAATCTCCATTTGAAGCATATCAAACAGACACTTCAGGGTTGCCTAGACTTGCTAATTTTACCTTCCTTAACTCAAATAAAAAGCCTACACTTTTAATAACAACATTTGAAATACTTTCTTTGATTGCATTCTTTAAGTTTCCTTGACATTTACACATTTTTTACTTCTCATGTATTATTTGTTATAGAAAATTACATTTGCAGTTATCAAGCAGCAAACACAGAGATGCAGCCAAACCCTGAGCTCTGCATTTCCATTTCATGTATGAACAATTAAATGTCAGCTTTTCAAGGCATATCACATACTTTATTGCCTTTGAAAGAAGGTTTTGTTTCTCATTTATGAGGGAAATTATATGCATAGCTTCCATTTTCATGAAATGTTTCAGCCCAAAAGAAGACATTTTCAGTGAAGGAGCATTAATATTTCAGTGCTACCTGTAAATTAAATTTTACAGTATCAGATACATAATTGCCTGGCTTGCTTTCATAAGCCACTCTTCTACTGTCTGGTCTTCAAAACCTTTTTATTTCAAAGCTAGAAGCTCTTTTGCTGGGATACTTTGTTCATATTTCAGAAACTTTGAGTTATGCAGAATGTGTCATGTCACATGGTTAGCCAATTATTTTATTGCAGTACCAGTAAACAAATGAGAACTCTGTGTTGAAGAGTATGACCTTGATCTCTATGCACCTAATGCACATTAGAAATCCTTTGTTTACATGTGCAGTTAATCACTAGACACAAAGGTTTTACTGAACATGTGCACAACCAGCTGGGATACTGAAGAAATGGCAACATCTCTGTGTGCATTGTTTAAACCTAGGACTTAACTGAGTCATGGAGAAAACTGAATAGAGCAGAGCCTCAAACAAGTTAAACTGGCTTGCTGTTCAGGAGTGAAAGCAAGTTGGCACTGCAGGCTGGAGCTGATAGATAATGTAGCTCTTATAAAAAGAAATTCACTACCTCCCCCAAGAATTTGTATCAACTCTTTCAGGTGACATTTCTCTTCGTGTCTAATTCTGTGGGGGTTTTTTCCCATACAATTCCCATAGTATCAGAATTAAAACTTGGTTGTTTATTTTGTGTTAATGATTCAATAAGCTGCCCATCTCTGGAAGTGTTCCAGGCCAGGTTGGATGGGGCTTGGAGCAACCTGGGCTAGTGGAAGGTGTTTCTGCCCATGGCAGGGGGTTGGAACTAAATATCCTCTAAGGTCTCTTCCAACCCAAATCACTCTGTGTTTCTATGATCAGATTTATCTTGATGTTCATTTGACTTTATTTATTGGTAGACTGAATCTTTTAAATACTGACTTGCTAGTGAAAAATACTTTAGTAATTGCTTCTTGATATAAAAATGTCATTGCAGTGATCCTTAGCTAGTTTTGTCTTTTAAGTAGTGAGATATATATATGATAACCAGACAGCTGCTGTAAGGAAGCAGTATAAGTTTTGGACTCCTGTAGTTAGACCTGCAAACCTTGCAAACCATTGCTTTTAGTCACTGCTGCTTCCCAGAGATGCAGGAATCATGTATCACCACGGAGAAATGAGGACTGACCAGCTCCTACTGAAAGGTTCTTCCACATAGAAGGAAAATATCTCTACCTCACACAGAATCACAGAATTACGGAATGGTTGGAGTTGCAAGGGACCTTAAAGATCATCTAGTTCCAACTCCCTGCCATAGGCAAGGTCACCTTCCACTAGACTAGGTTGTTCAGAGCACCATCCAGCCTGGCCTTGAACACTTCCATGGATGGGACAACCACAACCTCTCTGCAAAATCTCCCAGTGCCTCACCACCCGCGCAGTAAACACTTTTTTCCTAATATCTAATCTAAACCCACTCTCTGTCAGTGTGAATCCAGTCTTCCTTGTCCTGTTATTCCAGGCCCTTGTAAATATTTCTCTTCTTTGTCAGCTCCCTCATGTACTGGAAGGCTGGAATTAGGTCATCCTGGAGCCTTCTCTTTTCCAAGCTGAACAATCCCGTTTCTCCTAGCCTTTCCTCATAACAGAGGTATTCCATCCCTTCAATCAACTTAGTGGCTTCCTCTGCACTCACTCCAACAGGTCATTGTCCTTCCTGTACTCCAGCTGAACCTTTGGGTGGAGACTAGGCCACTTCAAGTATGTCAACCTATGGTTGCATAAGAAAGTCATTTATTTATATGCACAGGCAGACAAGAACTCAACTTGCAGAGGAATTCTGAACTTGTCTACCCAAGCAGTATCTGCATATGCAGAGTGCAAGCAGCCAGTTTAAAAACAGAGTTAGCTTACCCCTTGTCCCCCAGAGATGATACACAAGAACTTTAATCTCCTTTTGCCTATTCCACCATCCTCCTCTGTAACCTGAGGCTTGGAGTTATGAACTTCTGTCTGATATTACTTCAGGATTTTTAATTTAAGGCCAATTTCCTCACACATTGACAGCACTTATTAACTTACGTGAGCCAAGTACTGTATTTCAGTGTGAAGTGTCTGGAGTTGGGAATTAATTGTAGAAACTGCTATGACTTATCTTTGTTTTTCTTGTGAAAAAGATCCTTGGAGAAAAGATGTTTGGAACAATGTTATTTAATTGCATAATGGTAAATATAGCAAAAGGAGAGATGTGTACAAATAGAATTTTTTACAAACCAAGAAACAAGCTATGCCTATAAATATATGATAATAGGGTAATACATCTGTCATACTGGGACAGTGGAAAGACTGAATCAAGAAGAATCAGATTCTACTGATACCCTACTTAAGGTCAGCCACTGAACTAATTACAAGAGTGTTTTCTTGATAAAAGAGCTGCCTAATCTGATTTTTTACCTTAATGTGATCTGAAAAACTCTGGTTTACTCAGAGAAGTATTTATCTGTCTGAGGTTATAAGCACAACTCCTTCACTGGTTCATACAAGTCCTAGAGACAGCTATTTATTTGCAGTGTGGAAATAGAAAGATGTTGTTATAGTCAAACCTTGTGATTTGCTGCTTCAAGCCCCAGTCCAGGGAGTATTTAAAAGCATGTTTAATTTAAGTGTATTGCTGATTAGAGCTGACTGACCAAATGAGAGGCTGAGCAATGCACTCCCTCAGCTGACTTCTGTTCATTGCCTTGCACTGTGATTGATTGCCTCCCTCTTGTGAATGCAAAGCACTGGACATAGTCCAGAAAATAATACTTGCTTGCATAATTAAACTCAAAAGTCTCCTAATCCCCTTGACTTCAACACCCTCAGCCACATGTGTGAGGCATAGGGAAGCACAGTGATGTGTGTCTGGAATACCCATCTGTGTGGTGTCCAGCAAGGTCTCTCACGTAGCTAAAGAGGGAATTCACCTTGGCATGCTGTGCAGTGACCCCCCCTAGACATGTCAGAAGTGAAAAGGCCTGGAATGTGAGGGCCTTCAGCCCTCCTGACACTCTTGGTCAGCTCTCAAGTCTACCCCAGTACACCTTCATGTATTCAGGACCCTCTGTTTTGTCTCTTCTCATCATTCTCTGTGGCAAAGTTGGTAGTCCTCAACAGACTGAAGACTCAGGGGAACATTTAAGTGATCCTGGTATGGACTAAAGAGAGGAGGCTCAGGATTTTTCTAATCCCTCTCCTGTATCTTAAGGCTACTGGGACACAATTAGGATGGCACAGAGTGAAGAGGAGGTGGAGAGGTGGTGCTTGAATGCTGAGCTGAGATGCCTATGGAGGAGCACAAAAATACTTCTGACAGTTTCATAGTTTCATAGTATGTTAAGGGGTTGGAATGGACCTTAGAGATCATCTAGTCCCAACCCCCTGCCCTGGGCAGGGACACCTCCCACCAGAGCAGGTTGCTCCAGGTCCCATCCAACCTGGCTGTGAACACTGCCAGGGTTGGGGCAGCCACAACAGTTCTGGTTAGAGCACTCAGTGCCACTCAGGATGGAGCCACCAGATATTCTGTGACTGTGACCATTTTCATTAAGTTTAGAGACCCCATATAAAATGAAAATTAACCATTTGCAACAAGACAAAAGCTCTAATATCTCATACATTGAGAATTAAATGTCCATCACTATAAATCCTTTTGTACCCTTAAGTGTGTGGCTTAGTATTCACTTGTGAATACTAGGTGAGAGTGAAGGTAATTCCAGTAAATTACTTTTATTTTCTAATTCCAGAAATTCAGGATATACTGATTTGAAAAAACTTGGAATTGGCTACATGGCCACATATACTGACTCTAAATTCAGCTTCTTGAGTGATTTTGTTATGGTGGATCTGAGTTTGCCCTAAGTCAATCCCACTAATTTCTACTTAATAGTATTGGAATAGGAGATACTTGAAAAATATTCTTTTCTTTCTCTGTTGTCCATAGCAGCATCTCAGTTTTTCCTGAGTCTTTTAATAAGGAATGCAAGCTATAAATTTTCTTCAACAACTAGATAACATTTTTCTGGATATACTCACTTTCTAATACTTTATATTTCACAGGAGTAATTTAGTGTTTCCCACAGGAGCCATTTCCAAAGATAAGCTAGTAGATAGAGAGACATCTGACCATAAATCACCAGAAATGTTTTTAGCTATGAGCTAGCACAGCTTTGATACTTGATGTTTATGACTAATAAACCCTACCCAGTCAGACAAAACTACCATTTAAGTCTGAGGATCATGTTCTCACCTCAGCTTGGCCTTGTTGACCAAATTTTTACAGTCTGACCTATTCAGGCAAGTGTTTTCCCCTGAAGATCAGCCCCTGAACCAGGGAGGAAATCTGAGCAGCAGGTGACTGCTCGACCCAAAAAAAAGTCTGCAAAAGCTTATGGACTGACTTCCTAACTCCCTCTCATGTGGCCAACACATCAGCTGGGCTGGCTGAGCAGAGTGTGCCCCACAGACTACATCAGGATGGAATTGGATAAGTGCTGTGACATTTTACATCATTTTGTTCACTCACTAAATGCAACCTCTGTCATTGCAGTGGAAACAGTGCATCCAATTATCACAGGAGACTTGAATAATTTTCTGGCTCAGGGTGCCCTACTTCTCTGAGTTCTGAGTCTTTTCCAGGATGTAGGTTCACACTTACCTTGTAATTACATAAGGTGCAAAACAGAGTATGAAAGTGCCAATAAAGGTACTTATTTTCTTTGTTGCTCGCTGCCTCCTTCTCTTTTGTTCTTCCAGGCATCTCTCTCTGACACTGTGTGACATTCAACACAAACAAGAATGTGAATCATAATATCAGGTAACAGTTTTTAATGGCTTTACTTATGGAATGATGGAAAACAATCTCTCCAGTATCTGTTATAATCTCGTAAACCAATACCAGGTGCATTGCATTTATGTGGGACAATCCCAGGTATTAATGCATTGTCTGATCATCTCTCCCTCCAGCCTTGAATTCAGTTTGCAGCTCCTTTTTGAGCTGCTCTAAGCTGTATTTGCAGGCCACAGTTTGCCCCATAATACTGAGAGATTTGGAAAACATCCAGTGTGAGATAGGCAACATTCCACCTCCCCAGAGACACCAATTCCAACACCACTACCGGAGAGAGGAGAAACTTCCCAGCAAGATAAGCAACAGAACACAATAAAATCATAACGGGAAAAAACATGCTCTGAGCATTCAGCCCAGCGTTGGAGCAATCACTATATCCCATGACTGTGAACTGTGTGACCATAAATATTCCCTCAGCCTGTGCAGCTCAGCGCACTGCTGCTGTGCAGAACACTCTGCAAAGCCAGGAATTGTGTCATAAATCCACAGCACTGTGATAGCCTCACTCCTCACCTCAAACTAGCCCTGTTTCCAACTAAACAGATGCAAATTAGCCAGGCCCTGGGTGTTTTCCTGCCTGTGGCATTATAGGACAAGAACTTCTCCTTTGAATTTCCCACTGGTGGTCTCACCAGGACACCAGAGAGGTGCTAACTCCTTTGGTGTGTCAGCTAGGTGATGGGAGCATGGGGCTGAGACCTTGCTTTCACTGCAAAACAATCTCCTTTGAAATCAGCACATTTGTTTGGCAAAGAGTTATAATATGAAAGCTCATCCTCTACTTGTTTGTGTACCTCCTGTACTTTTCCAGGGAAGTGGAAGAGTTACTGTCTATTCCAGGCAGTGAAATTTGATGGGCAGCACTGGTTGTATGTCCCAGAGTGCCAGGACTATCTGTACCTGAATAAATCCCATTGGAAAGGGCAAAACCAAAGCCAGATTGACAACCTGAAACCTTTCTCCATGCACATAGCAGCACTGCCACGTGTTGACTCATTGTACAGGTCTCATGGTGAGACAACCACTTCCCAGGCAAACTGAATGGGTTGGCCCATGTCCTGTATTTGCATGCATATATCTTTAAAAAACTGTTTGGCTTTGGTCTATGTTTTATTGTAATTTGTAAATAATGACTAACTCTTGGGTTCCACACTCTCATATGTTAATAGCTGTGAGGTTTTTGGCCATACCCTTGCAACATTGGCTGTTTCTGCAAATGTTTCATCATCATCTAAACATTCTGAGGTTCTCAGTGTGTTACAATGATCACTGTGGCAATGAGTTCTTATATTTCTCTTTGGCTGTATCAAAAAAAAGTGTTTCTTTTGTTCCATTCTATATTTGCTCTCACATTGCCAGTCCCCAGAGCAGTTACCACAATGTAATTAAATAAGTATTGGAGGAAAAGTTTGTTACCATTGAAATAATAAATCATCTTTCTCTTAAAGAATATGTCACATCTAAAAGCATTACATGTTCTAGGTCTGGTTTATTTGCAGCTAGAAATGACAGCTGAGAAGGAAAAACATATCCACCTTTTCAAGGGAACCTATGTGCTTTCAATTCTGCCAGAGCTGGGGAGCTTGGAGTTATTTTTAGGTTCAGAGAGATGATTGCTCAACAGCTTTGCTTAAGACCTGTGTTATTAAATTCATAGTATCCCAAGCACACAGCAATACAGGAAAATGAATCTCCAAACAGATTCAATTAGAGAGTTGTAAGGGTGGTGCATTTTTTGTCTCTGACAGTTTCCCCAGTTACATCCTTTCCTTACTGGCACATACAAAGCTGTATGACTCCTGGAGCTCACACATGACTGTCCTGATAGACTAAAACCAATTCCTCTTGTTCATCCTTTCCAGATGTAGCCAATAAATACCAGACCACAGAGGAAGGTATTTTATCTCACTCTCTCATACAGACGATGTACACAGATGAGTATTTTGCTTTTGCACACACTTTCATGCACTAAGATAAGAACATATGTGCAAGTTCCAGTAGTGACACTAGTAATAGAATAGGATTATTGACTAAGCTTTCATTTAAAGAGTTTAATATCCTGGAAAATCTGAGATATATCCCTTTGAATGTTTGGTATTTTAAACAAAGTTTATGAGATACTGGACCTTAAGATGTGTAGAGCTGGATAGTATAGAAAGTTTCAGTGAAGAAATACATGGGTTAAGTGCTTAAGTGAAGTTTTGCCCTAATCGCTCACAATACCTAAGGTATTTTGGTCTTAAGAACAAAGTCAAGAAAACAGAATACACTAAAAATGCCTAAGCTAACTTGAAAGGGTATGTGCCCTAAACAGTCACACGAATTTGTATGATGTTTAGAGGTTTCTTTTGTACTCATCTTGAATGATCTTCAGAAGATCATTCGTGTCTTTCTAAGTCATAGGTAATAAAGACATCTGTCACAACGCCTGTCACTAGACCCCCTTGAGGGTGGATTCTGAGTCACAGGAAGCAGAAAATTGTCTGTACACATTTCTCAGTGTTGAAACTAAACCCTGCAAAGAGTCAGAGGAGTCAGGGTAGTCTAAGTTGGGATTACAAACTTTGTTCTCTCATGTGCATTCTCCCAGCATCCATGTCTGTGCTGTCAGGTACTACAGGACACATCGAAACTGCCTGTATATACACCACTTATATAATGCAAATGATGCCTTCATCATGGCAGAGCTTTGTGAGCATCACTGAGTGCTTCAGGAGAGCTGCAGCCTCAGTGCAGCTCTCACAGAGGGGAAGGTAATCCAAGATCTGACCCTTCCAGCAGCAGGAGCTATCACCAGTTAAGGCAACACCTCCACAGGTCAAATCAGTCACCATTTATTTAGTCTAGAAAAGCAGCTAAAATTCTCCTTTCCTAGAGAGAGGCATTGGAGAGAATAACCTGGTGTGAGAGCTAAGAGTTAGTGGTACAGGTTACTCACAACAAAGTGCTTGTATACCTCTGTCTCCTCCAAGGAAAGAAAGCATCATTCCTCCAGCCTTGCTGAATCCTTCCCTGAGTGAGATGATTGCAAAATGCACAAACACCCTCAAATCAACCTAACCCGGGAAAAATGCAGAGGAGGAGAAATCACACTGATATTTTTGCCCTTTTCCTAAACTTTGCTGTGCATTCTTTAAGCATTATCATGACAATTGCTATTTCAAATAGCCCCAGTGGGTTTATGGCACTGTCCTGGGAGTAACCACCACATCTCTCCATGTGTGCAGGAGCTAAGACAGTCAGGGCACTGTTTATCAACCAGACAGCACATAGGGCAGAAGGGTGTTTTTACCTCAGTGTGACTTGGTGAGTAAGAGAAGATTTATTCATGTGTTTCTCAAGAGCAGCAGCAGGACCTGCCCAAAGTTCTGCCTCTGCATTCTTGGTCAAGAGACAGCTCAAACAGCTTAACAGGAGAATTTTGAGCAAATGTTTCTCTCCTAACAGTGTGCTGTCCTGCCCTGATCCTTTCAGACATATTTGTCTTGGGCTCAGGAATCCCCAAAACATGACCTGTTTTTGAGGACAGCCACATGTGCTCTGAGCCCTGTAGCTCTGCTCCTGCTGGCTGCATATGGAGAGAGCTGGGGTTTTCCTCCAGCCTGTGGAGCAAAGGGCAGCAAAGAGGGTCAGATGGTATGTCTGGTGTGGGACTGCCCTCTCTGCTCTCTGCTTTCCTCTCTTCCAAGCAGACATCTTCCCCCATGTCAGACACCAAACCTGCATCTCTTCCAGGTCCATACATTGTCAATTCACACAAGATCTATAGTTTGTGCATAATCCCTGACATGACTTCTGCACAGCATTGCTGCACACATTCCTCCCTGTTTGGCACTTGTCTTCAAGCTCAATATCCTCCCAGCCCCAGGAAACTTTTCTCCTACTGTGTCTAGGCACAAAGGTCTTGCCTAAAATCTCTCATAAGAAATGAGCTTTATACATCCCTTGTTTGGTGTATTAGCATTGCTACTGATTTCTCTCTCACTTAGATTTAACCATAGGCTTTCAAGCACATGCATTTTGCTGATGTTATTCCCTTAGAATTCTGCCTTCAGGAATGATAAAGTTAGAGAGAGCGCAGCAATAGGGAAACTGCTGGGTGAAGAAGCAGCAGGCAGTGCCCAGCTTCCCTTCCAAACTCCAACTGAAGGGACATGTGCAGCCTCCTCTGCTTCACAGATCCAACAATGTTTTGGGCTGACAGTGCCAAAAAATGCAAATCTATTGACTACTAAATCCACCTTCGGAGACAAAGGGCAGTGATCTGATCACTGTCTCGAAGGGCATGCTCAGCCAAAACTGCCTGTTTCTTTCCTCTCCATCCCAAAACAGGTCCCTAAGCATAACAAAAGAGTTCTGAAAACAGAGATATAAAGACAAATAAAAAGAAACATGCAGAATAGAAACAGGCAAGAAGGATGCTCATTTTCTCCCTCTCCCCATCCCCTCCTGTGATACAGATCAGATTGTATTTAACATAACACTGAACTCCCTCCTCACTTTTTCTGATATGAATAGACACACTTTGCTGAACACACAGACACCTTACCTGGGATGGATGTCCACAAGCAGCACCAGGGTCTGCATAGTGATCACGTCAATCCTCTTACAGTGGAACCGTGCCACCTTCAGCACTTTTAGATATGTGAAACACAGGATTATAAGGGAGAGGAGGAAGCTGAGCGTGTGAAAGACCCCAGTGAAAATCACAAACTGTGTCCTATCCTCTGGTCTCTTGTTGTACAGGGTGCAGGAGGCATAGAGGTGATGGAAACCCACCCAGGAGAGAGAAGCTGCCACTATCGGGAATGACACCGAGTGTAACCACGTGTAGCTCAGTATGAGAGCAGCATCTCTGTACCTCATTTTGGAGTGATAACTTAGAGGGAAGACCACAGCAATCCACCTGTCAATGCTCAAAGCTGCCATGCTCAACATGGAGTTCGTGGTGAGAAAAGTCTCCAGGAAGCCCACAACCTGACAGATCTGATCTCCTCCTGGTTGACTCTTGTAAATGATTCCAGCCAAGGTCAAGGGCATGTTCAAAACAGTCAGCAACAAGTTGCAGAAGGTGAGGTTGAGGATGAACAATCCCGGGACCTGCTTGCGGATGTCGGCGCTGTACAGGAAGCACATCAGCACCAGCACGTTGGCCAGCAGGGCCACGAGCATCAGCACCACCAGCACGAAAGCCAGGAGCAGCTCCCAGATGCTCATGGTGCATCCAGTCACAGGAGGGACATCTCCAAAACTGCGGCGCGCCGGCACCCGCGGCACATGGTGCGAGGCGCGGCCACCTCGCCCTCCTCCCCAGCCTGCTCGCTCTCTTGCATGCCCTCCGTATTTTTAGAGGAGCTGCAGTTTTCTCCTCCAACCTCCCCCTCCTCGCTGCTCCTTTCCACGTCAACGCTTCCCGAGACGTGCACAAAAGCACTGGGAATGCCCATCAAACTGCGAGGAGGGCTTAAAAAATATCAGCAGGACTGAACCACTGTCTCCACTCGGTCCATTTGAAGGCGAGCACGTTGTTCTGAGAAACTGCTCTCCTGAGATCCCTAATTATCAGCCCCAAGCTCGCGAGCAATTCACCGAGTGAATTGTGCTCTCTTTCTCCCTTGCTTTCTCTGTGTGTGCGTGTGTGTGTGTGTGTCTCTTTCTCTCCCCTCCCCTCTCCTCCAACCCTCACTCCCTTCCAGGCTGAATGTAACCTGCTTTTTATGATCACAGATAAAAACCCCATTAATGGATTAAAGCATGCACAGTGCTGGTGATTCGCAAACGTGATTATGTCATCCCTGCTCCACAACCCCTCCCCTTCTCCTGGCGACTGTGCCTAGACTTTCCTCAAGAGAAATCCCAAGCTTTCCTTTAATTGATTTAGCCATTAATTTGCAAACAGCCATGTAACTGAATTCCTGCACTCCAGTGTTCCTACGTTTCGGTGCATGACTTGCAGTGTTGTTTCTTGCTCTCAGCCAGAGCAGGGGCTGTGTTTTCTCTTCATTAGCTGTGCTTAAAGAGATGGCAAAAAATGGATATATTCTGCTGCTTCTCTGGAGCTGTCATTAGGCTACCGGAATGGTTTTACTGCTCTAGTTTAGCACTTTGCACTCTGTCTCCAAGCATGATGCACGGGAGGAAAATTATTGCCTCCTCACCTCCTTTAAAAGTAGGGAAATCAAAGCCCAGATGCCACTGACACATAGGTCACTGAGCAGGTGAGTGGCATCCTGCTCCAGGTCTCACTATTCAGTCAGGCTTTCTCCCCTTCAACAGCTTTTTCTTCCTCCTAATCAAAGCTTCCCTCCCTGTGAGCCTAAGCACCCTGTGAGATCAAAACTAAGAAGCAGCTTGGCAAAGGAAGTAGGAATGAATCTGCATTCCACCTAATTAGGTGTTAAAATTTAGTTTGCTTGAAAGGATGGAGCAGGAGTTATCTTCTGATTGCCTTTCCTGTCTCTTTAAATCCGTTTTGCCTGGGAATGCTGAGAGTTTGCGAGCAATCAGGACAGCTTTCTCATCAAGGCAGCCTTAATCCCTGCACAAAAAGAAGGCAAAAGATACCCTGCAGCACAGTTATTGGGGCTTAGTAAGTGTCTCTGCACGTGTGCAAGAGCTTGATGCTGGGGCAGATTTTCCCTCTGTGCCTGCAGCCCTGCCAGAGCTGTGCATCTCGAGGTACAGCAGCTGTTCCCTGCAGCCACTTGGGATCATGGCTCAGGAGCAGAGCTGTCACCTTGCACACTGTCAGAGCTTTGCATCTTGTAGGAAAGCCCTGTCTTTTTTTTCCCTTAAATTTTCTTTTGCTTTCATAAACCAGACTTTAAAGGGCTAATAGAGCCCTCAGAGGCAGCTGAGACTCTCCAGGACAGTGTGGGTTCACAGGTCCTACACACACACACTCAGCAGTGAATGAGTGACTCAGGGTGCAGAGCCCAGGGCAAGTTCCTGTCTCCAAAACACCTATCCTCATGCTGTGTGGATTAGGAACAGGATTACAGTGTCTGCCTCTTTTCCTGTCAGTGATTCAAAGCTGCATGAAGTGGTAGGAGCATTATCCCTGGACATGTTCAAAAACTGTGAGGATATGGCACCTGAGGACATGGTGTAGTGGTGAACATAGTGGTGGTGCTGTGTTGACAGTTGAACTCGATGATCTTAGAGGTCTTTTCCAACCTTAGTGATTCTATGATTCAATGGGAAAAGCCTAAAGGTGACTCCTTCTTTAAACAAAAGGGGTCTTTACCCTCTTAGAAGAGGTAGTGTAAGGAGGTGAGAGAGAAGATGAAGGCTTTCAACAGGACAAAGGGGCTTGGTGGACACATCTTGAAGGGCAAGAGAGTCTGGCAGAACTGAACTGGCTCTACTGGATCTTTTTACCAGGGAGTGAGGAAGCATATGAGGGTGGATAGCTGCAGAACACTCAAGAGGAGACTCTTAATATCCTTTGCATGGTGTCAGCTCCTTTTTCCATGACCTGATATCTCCCCATCATCCACCTGGTCCCTTTTCCTCCAGAGTTTATTAGAGTGCTACTACTGTTCATATTGGTGTGGGAAAGCCAAATTGAAGCAACAAATTTGGCATATACTCCAGTAATTGTTGACCTAAATGAATTAAGTGTTCCTAGTCCTGTGCCTCACAGTTCAACAATTGATTTTCTCTATTCTATTCTATTCTATTCTATTCTATTCTGTTCTCCTACCAAGCTATTCTATGTTGTACAAGTTTCTCAGGTAAAGAAAACATGGTTATCAATAAGGTTAAACTCCCAGTGTTTACAGGGAAAATGTACCAAGTAATAAGGACTTAAATCAACAGTCAGTGGGAAAAACTTTCCAGGTTTCAGGAGAAAGCTGAAGTTTTCCCTTGGTGGTTGATTTGAGTCTCTGTATGCATTTCTAACTCTGAAGGCCCAAGTGATTTACATAACCAATCCCTGCAGCAGAGGATGTTTACTGAATGCTTCTGGGTTTATTTATCATGCATACCTAAGGGAGCTTGATGGACCCACAAAATAGCTTCATTTTATACAAAACAGGAGGAAAGAATATGCCCTGCATATGTCGAGGGTGAGCCCCAGATGGCAACTAAGCACTGCACAGCCACTCACTCCCTCTCCCCCAGGGGAGAGAACCATAGAACAGAATCATAGAATCATTTAGGTTGGAAAAGACCTCTAAGACTATCGAGTCCAATGCTGACAAGGAAACTCTTTAAGCACTCATGTGAGTTGACTTTGGTTTGTCTTCAGTCCAGTACCATGCAAAACCTTGACAAAGTTACTTGATGGAGAGAGAGCCACAGCTCTGTACCTCTTGGGCTCTGGCTAGTTAGTGTCTTGGTGCAGAGGTAGCTTCTATACCTTCTCTGTCACCTTCACTGACCATAACTGTTTTACTTCAGCCCCTGCTCTTCCTGACCCCAAATAACTAGCGTCATCCAGTGGATTCTTGCCTGGCTCCTTACTCTTCAGCAGGTGCTGAACATTGCACACAGGGAATGCTGCACAGTACACTGGGACTAACTGCGGGTTACTGGCCAGCCAGATGGTCTGTATGGGCCACCACTTTGGGGAAATGAGGAGTGAAACCCTCTGCTGCTTCACCAAACAGTCCTTGTGCTGTGAGTGCCACAACAACTCCAGCAGCAGCTCACCAGAGTCCTCCTGGTGAATTATTCACTCTTGGGTTGTCACTGCTACTTTGCTTCATGGAATTAAAGAAACATCAGGTCCTGAGGCACGTGGCTGGTGCTTCTGGCACTTCTGCCTGCTGGCTGGATTTTTAAGGACTCTTAGGGCAGCTAAGGAAATCAAATTGAAAAAGGAGCAGCAGAAAGCCACGAGAACCTTTGAGTCAGGGATGTTTGGGGGTGGATGTGTG